CTCTCTCCCTCCTCCTCTCCTCCCCTCCTCTCCTCCCTCCTCTCCTTCCTCCTCTCCTGCCTCTCCTCTCCTCCCTCTCCTCCTCCTTCTCCTCCTCTCCTCCTCCCTCTCTTCCTCCTCTCCTCCTCTCCTCCTTCTCTCTCCTCCTCCTCCTCTCCCTCCTCTCTCCTCTCCTCCTCTCTCCTCTCCTCCTCTCCACTTCTCCTCCTCCTCCTCCTCTCCTCCTCTCCTCTTCTCCTCCTCTCTCTCCTACTTCCTCCTCCTCCCGGACCTCAACTGCGAGCTCCAGATCGACGGATCGCAATTGCAAGCGCGAGATCTCAGAGAGGGTTGAGGCCCGGCAGCGCCCACGTCAGAGTTAGACTAGATGCGCCAGATAGGATGTGAGAATACAATTGATGTCAGGTATAATGCCAGAAAAGAATGCCAAATAGACTGTTGGAATAGAATGTTGGAAAATATATGCCGCATATACTTCCAGATGAGATGTCAGAAACGATAACAAAAAAATCATGCCACCGTAGGGATCACTCGAAGCAAAGTAATCATGGTTGGGTTCGCGCGAATTTTTGGGCATAAAATGGGGACAAAACAACTATAAAAATAACCTTTTCAGAATTAGATACAGCTAGCAACTACCACCCAGCCCCTTTCTAACTTCATTCAAAGAAGGTTTACCGCCAGGACCTTTATTGAAACCAAAGATTGGCACTAGGTATTGTGTAATTGCGTTTTGTTGGGTACTGAAGCCATGGATAAAACGTCCAAAACTGAAGTTTCAATTTCGTTCTGCTCCTGTCCTCCCTGTGTTGCTTGTTGTTATTCAGTCCCTGCTGTTTCAAGGTTGATTCTCAGCTTCCAGATCTTCCTTGGCATGCATCACTTCCTGGACATCGCGGTGTTGGTGCCCCTCAGTACCAGCTTCATCCATCAGTGGTAGCAGCCTTGGCGCCTGCTGCACCTTTGAGAGCGGCCTTTGGGGGTGGTAGGAATGTGTGATTTTTGGGGTGCGGTTCCAGACAGTGTTTTCTCTGCTCGTACCTGTTCCAACTCAATATATACTTAGCTATTTGATCCGTTCCACTCTGTTCCAATGAAAAAATGATATCCTATTCGCCAGCACCCTCTGTCGTGTCACCCAAGCACCTAGCAGTATGATGTCGTTAGTTTCGAAAACCAAAGGGAGCTTTGAATTCAATTCGCAGTCAATACTTCAAAATGTTTGCTTCCATGCTTCAACAACTTGATTTGTGTTTTGGTGAATATTTGTGTCTGCTTTTATTTGTGTTTCAACAAACATTTTACCACCTCAAGTTTTTAGAAGTGAGGGTTAGGATTGCTTGTTCCGTTTGACCCCATGGCTGAACCCACTTGCTGTGACTTTTGCTGGAGCGCTGGCACGCCTTACCATTGGTCGAGGGCAACAGCACCACGCATCCCTCAAACGAAGCCTGAATTGGTTGAGGCACTCCAGCCTAGTTGGTCTGTAGCTGCTAGCTTGAAGGTAGGGGAGAAGTTGGAAACCATGACTTTACCTGAGCTCAAAGCTTTGTTCAAGACCCACCTCAAAGGAGAACCCCATCCCCATGACCCAACCCGCGGCTTTCCGAAGCTGAAGCAGGATGATCTGATTGACAGGTTGAAGGTGCACTCCTTGCCTGTGATGCCTCGCATGTCTAGGGGCAACAGAATGCTCTTGCTGCGCTCCCATTGGGAGGAACAGTGCAAGTTGGCACGCCCTGACTCCCCTGAGCCTAGCAAAGCAACCTTTGAAGACTGGGAGGAAATTAGTGACGCTCTTGGTGATTTTCTCGATGTTCAGCAGAAGATGGGGGATGCGCTTGAAGCTTTGCTGGGGGAATGCGCGCACAGTTCAGAAGATGACCCCCTTAAAAGCTTAGAGCCCTTGGTGGGCAAAGCAGAGCTGGCGTTTGAGGGTTTTGTTGATGCCACAAGTGCGCTGATTGCTGCACGCAAAGCATTGCAGCAGCAGTGAAAGTCTGAAAACATCTATATATATAGCGGAAGCATTGCGATCTGGGGGTAAAATCAATTCCTACGCGGTCAGTGCTGATGGTGGTTCAGATTGTTGAAAATTTGGTTGGAATTTCACAAAAACCGGCTTCAAACCTTATTTAGTAATTAATGGAGTCCAGATCCCATTAACCATTTGCCAATCTGTCAACTTGATTACTTTGCAGTCAGCACTGTTTCAAACACTGGCCACAGCCAAGGTCCACGCATTGATCCACCAGGTGCGCCCCACCTCTCAGCTGGCTGGGCATGGTATGGAAACCAGGAGTCCTTTTACTACATAAGGGATAAATTCACCTTACCTTTCAAATCAATATGTATTTTCACTTTGAGCTGATGGAATCCGATGCACCGTAAATGGGTTTCCACAAAAATCGATGGACCTTGGGATGGTGAACTTCTCCAACCGATGGATCCTGAAATTATCTTCCCACAAAAACCACAAAAATCGATGGGCTTGGGGATGGGGCGACCCTCAAATCGATGGACTCTAACATTGTCTTCCACAAAAATCGATGGACCTTGGGATGGGGCACCCCTCAAATCGATGGACCCTAAAATTGTTTTCCACAAAAATCGATGGACCTTGGGATGGGGCACCCCTCAAATCGATGGACCCTAAAATTGTTTTTCACAAAAATCGATGGACCTTGGGATGGGGCACCCCTCAAATCGATGGACCTAAAACTGTTTTCCACAAAAGTCGATGGACCTTGGGATGGGGCACCCCTCAAATCGATGGACCCCAAAACTGTTTTCCACAAAAATCGATGGACCTTGGGATGAGAAAATGTTCAACCCACAAAAATCGATGGACCTTGGGATGGGCACCCCTCAAATCGATGGTATTGGAATAGGGGTTAGATTGAAATCGATGCACTTTAATTTTTTTCTGGCCAAAGTCGATGTATGCCGGGCGTCTTGCAAACCAAAATCGATGGACATGAGAATTTTTGACGAGCTGAATGTTAAAAATCGATGGTAGCGGTGGCGATATCGCCATTGAAATCTGTGACTCTTGTGGTTGTTTGTTTTCCTTTATGGCAACTTTGTCCATTGATTTTTACTGGGGAAGGCTAAAGCAAGATCAATGGACATACCCTGGGCACGTCCATTGAAAACCCTAGATCTGGAGCTATGCAATCGATTTGCTTCTTGGCCAGCAAAAAAAAATTGAACCATACCCCTCATAAACCAGGGTTTTCAATGGTGACGCCCTGGGTACGTCCATTGATTTTTATGTTGGGGCCCTTCTTGAAAATCAATGGTGGTTTTAGGTCTCAGAAATATTCCAAACGCCGATCCTTTGCCGTCCGTCTACTTCAAGGGTTCAGTAGTGAGGACTTCTAGGAAGTTGCTTTGCGCCAACGAAGCGCTGTGTGCGGTATGGCTGTAAATGCAGTTTTGCAGCGGGCCAAACAATTGGCTTTTGAAACCCCAGAGAAAAAGGAGGTCAAGTTGAAAGAGGAAATGAAATCTGATACCCTGACCCCTTCGCCCCCGTCAGCGGCCAAGAAGCCTTGTAGTGCCTTCGAGAAGTTTGTGAAGAAGCTGCCTGGGGATGTCTCTCTCATCCGCGAAGCTTGGGATTTCAAATATGTTGTGGGGGGGGTAGGTCACATGTATAGTGCCAAAAAGCATCCGGGGGGCCCAGTAGATTTTTGAGTTTTATGTGTCTTTTGTTTCGATTATGGACAGATTTCAAACAAAAGCAACTTATTATATATATATATATATATATTCCTGAACAAACGTCCTGGGTTCATTGTTTGAAATCCGTTGCTTTTTCAGCCAAAGGAAATGCATGAGTATGTCATGACTTTTGGTGGTGAGGGCGAGAAGGTCAAACCTGGTGCCCACCCTGCAGAGATCGTGCCTTTCCACCTGGGGTCTAACAATCCCGAGAACAACAGCCAACACATGAAGTCTCTGGAGTTGTGGTTTGCGGGTTACCAGTACAAGAGGAGCGGCATGATCTACAAGTCCTGCACCAGTGTTGTTTCTCACTCAGTGGATTTAGGGTACTATAGTGGGAGAACTAAAATATGTTGCACGGTCATAAAAGATGACTAACACCCATTCAATTCTTTGACCAACTTGTTTTTTAGGTGCTAGATCGATCGATGGACAAGGACACGCTCAAGCTGCCAATCACAGCCTTGAAGTTTCTTGGTGAATGGGTTCTATCCAAGTAACACCAAAAAACAATGTCATAAATATGTCTTCTTTTTTAATGCGCGTGTTGGTGACCTTAGAGATTCAGGCAGTTTTCATCGGGCTGGCAGGGGAGAAAAATGAGGTTTACACCTCCAGCGGATGGACTTCCATGTGTACGGGATTGGATCGTTTGCTGGGAGTCCATGCTGCATGGCATTGATCTTGGACGCGAACCCTTGTCGTGCAATGTCGCCTCCTCATTCATTGATCTCCTTAACCTCACCTCTTTTTGATGCATATCAAATCATAGCTGGCCCTGGTTCCATAATGGCCTTTTAATTGCTAAGGCAACCTTCCCGGCGGACGGTCTCGACCTAATTTTTCAAAGCCAAGAACACTGTTTTGATCTGTCGATTGATTTTTTTGGTTGGATATATCCCCATCACAAATCCAATGAATGAGGTGACAAATTGCAGTTGGAGACCTGTTCCCTTGACATAGTGAAGGGTTGGACGAAAGCATCGGTTATTGCCTTTGTTCTCTTGGCTGCAGCGGAATATGATGTGGAAGAACATTGGTCAAAACTGGAGCCATTGGTGCCATTCTTGGACAGAGCTTTCCTCCTTCCAACCTATGATTCTCATATTACATTGGTACTTTTCTCATCTACCCTTTATTTTTGATCAAACTCTCCCAAAAATGGCAAATAGCTTCCATCGGTTTTCGATGTTGTTGGAACATGCTCCGTTTTTCAGGGCCCCTTCCCACAATTTTCACTAAGTTGTTTCATGTATGCTGACACTAAGGTGATGATCGACACCACCATCATGCAGCAGTCCTTCACCAACTTGCAGCTGAGCTTTAGAGGTGCTGAGAGGCAGCCGCCCTCAGCGCTATCTCTCGCACTTCAATTCTCAGCTGTCATGAGGGCGAAGGCTGAGGATGGAACCCATAGTTCAAAGTTGGGGACAGAAGACCGCTTGAATTTGATCATTGCCGAGTTCCACAACCACCCAGGAGTGATTGCCAAATTTCACTTGGATGAAAACAAGCAAAAGGCAGTCTTACACCTTTTGGTGGGGACGACGCCCGAAACCAGAGCTGCCATGCAGGCGCACCTGAATTGGCACAAGTGGAAGGAATGTGCGCTCTCCAGCGAGCTGCTGAGGTCGTCACGGTGGTTGCTGTCAGCTTACCCCAAAAATGTGAAAAGCCATTTCAAAAAGCTCTTGACCGTGACCGCAGATGTCCAAGAAGCTTTCATTGAGAACCACATCGCTACTTTCAACTTGAAAACCAAACGGGTGAAAGCAAGTGTGCGTTGCAAACACCGTCCAACCGTTGGGGAATGGGACAGAATGGTTGACTACGCATGTGTCATGTTTCATGCCGCAGAAGAAGCAGCAAAATTCTGGAGCGAGGATGATTCCAAGAAATTGGAAGTGGTGCAATCCGTGCACTCTGCCTTCATGGCAAGGCGATGGATTCAACAATAATCCATGCCACTTGTAATTTTCTTGTTGGTTTGCCGCTGCCAAAAATACAAAAAGCACGCAATTGCTTTACTTCGAGTGGCCCCCACCGTGACATTTTTTTTTCATCGTTCCTGACCACATCTGGAAATATACATATGTATATATATATATATATAATATGGCATATATGTTCTGACATTCTATTCTGACATTCTATCTGACATTCTATTCTGACCTTTTTTTCTGCCATTATGTCTGACATCCATTCTATTCTGACATCCTATCTGGCATCTATTCTGACATTTTCTCTGGCATTCATTCTGGGATTTTTTCTGATATTCTATCTGGCATCTATTCTGACATTCTTTCTGGCATCTATTCTGGCATTCTTTCTAGCATGTATTCTGGCATTTACTTGAGCATTCTTTCCGACATTCTATTCTGGCAAGATTTCCTTTGAAAGGGGGCCTCCGGTTGAAAGGGCTTCATTTTGGAGAGGAGAAGAAGAGGAGAAGAGAGGATGAGGAGAAGAGGAGGAGGAAGGAGGAGGAAGTGATTCTGATAAAACCTAAAGACCCTCACCTGGCAGGTGTGGAAAAAGAACCCACCCCCCTCGTCTTCGGTTTTTTTGGGGTCGCTTTCCCTTTGTGGGTGGCCTTCTTTGTGGCAAACCAACAGGAAAATTGCTACTACCCACCAAGTCTAGCATGGGGTAACTTAGCACCTTTTGCCCTTCAAATGGAAACATTTTGTGGGGGCTCACGATGTGTTTTGCAATAATACCTGATCGATACCCTTGCCAACTTGACTGGGTGGACGCTACCTGGTTGATGGTAGAAACTGGGCCCCTTAAACGCTGGTCAAGGTTCTATATTGCACTGGGCCTCAAGGTTACCCCACCTGCTCTGATCCTGTGCAGGGACTACTTTGCGGAGGTGCAACTGTGTGTGGAAAGTGCGCTGCCGAATTGGGATGTCAAACACCTCAGCCTTTGGAAGGAGTTGGTCGACCCTGTTGTGGACCCCGCTGAATCGGTGGAAGATGTCTCCATGTTGGAAGAAACAACAGCAGCAGCCCAATTTTGTGAAGTCAAATCGAAGATTGGGTCCCTTATCTATGTATTCCTGTTTGGTTTTATTCCCCCTTGAAGGGCTAGACGTCGAACCTAAAATCCACCACCGCTGTAACATTTTAAACATGGTGGGCGAAATTCAACCCCATTCTTGATCCTCCTCGCCTTTGAGGCTGGATGAAGTGGCTTGGGTGAAGCACCTCAACCTGCAGAACAAGAAGGTGATCCGAGAGCACATCATTTCTGTCACCCATGTCAAAGCGCAGAATGCGATTGGGCAGGGGAGACTTGGGCGTGGGCTTATGGGTTTTTTGATCGGCTCCCCAAATTCAGATTGTTTGAAATTGAACGTAGCACTGCTTAGCACGGTTATGATTTTGTGTTTCTGATGGTCAGAGCTCTATCTATTTAGGATTGTGGAGCGCTACATGAACAAATGGTGCCATTTGAACTTGCTCGGTGATTTGACCAATGTCCCCAACCTCTCAGCATGGCTGTCACAAGCCGCCACGGAGTGCAAGGAACTTGATTTGCCAAAAGCATTTGTTTTACCCCCGAAACTTTGGAAAAGGGTTGAAGGGTAACTTTTGTAAAGATCAGACTGAAATATGTATAAGTCTTTTAGGGCAGTCCAAGGGTAGCTTTATAAAATCACTTGTTATAATATACATATGATATATGGGAATGTCTCACAATAGGGGTTCCCCAGATTTATTATTTTAAGTAGCTATAATATAAAGTTTCGGGCACCCCTATATTGAGACATTCCCATGTTCAAATCTTATGGGGCGCAATCTTATGGGGCTCAAGGTATAATATATGACTATGCCCCCTGAGGTAAAGCCGGAGCAGTTGCATGTTCTGACCATTGTGGATTTCACCAAGCTTGGAGTGGCAACTACTGGAGTGATCAACAAGCAGTGCACGCTTCTGCAGAAGGTCTTGCAGCGAAACCCAGGGTGTGTCTAATCTTCATTTGGTAGAGCTGATTGTATGGGGTGTACCCTGTTTTTATATGGGGGAAACAGGTGGACTTGGCGTAAAATTTGAGATCTCCTGGGCATGGGGCATGCATTTTGCACTTTGCTACCTTTTCCTGCAAAACCTCGAGTTTTAGCTTTTCTGCTTTCCCCCCTGGACCTGGGTTTTGGAAGAAAGCATCGCAAAATCAAAGTTCTTCTTTGATGCTGACGCTGAGGCTCAGCCGGTGTTATCATTGCGCCTCTCCTGGTTTCCACCTCTGGGGCCGGATCCCTTCGCCAAGATCATCGAGCCATTGTGGACAAGTGTGGCAACTTGGGCATTGCTCTCCGCGACATTCGCCTTGGGGTGGATCCGGGGAACCTCCATGGGAACTCGGAGAGGCCAATCTACTTTCATGGGTGGCTTTGTGTTGCAGACACGACACTTCCATCGAAAGGAACAGGACACAGGAGGAACCGAAATGACGATCCTCAGGATGCGGTGCACCTCAACACCTTCATCCAGTCCAACCTGTGGAAGTTCCAGGGGTTTTCGTTGGATAGCATGCCGCAGAGGCTACCGGAAGCAGATTTTGCAGTTCCAAAACCCAGTTCCAGTCACATGATGCACGGCGAAACCTTTCCGATGCCCAGGAAACTTCGCAATGGATTGCTGGAGTTGATGTGATGACCAAGTTGATCTCTCATGCTTCAGTTGGTAACTTGGTATCGTTGGTACTCTAAACATTTGGTTGGGGCGATTTCTTGCCTTTTACTAGGCATAAGCACGTTGGGAGAGATCAAAATATCGTTCCAACCATGTTCCAGTTACTAGAGCAAAAAAACACCAGAACCATATTGAAACTTCGGTTTTCATATGTAGGTAGTTAATTTCACAACCACCAAAAAGGGAGACAAGTACTGATCGTATAGATATGTACAGGTCATGTATTCCCCAAAAATTGTTCCCCATATTTTCTTTCTTGGTTCGATCTCTATCGTCCTTTTTTGGTGTAACTACATTGTGGTTTAAAGCATATGATGCTTATGTTTAAATATACAGCAATCTGTTTATTCACGTGGGATGGGAAAAACCAGAACACAAACCATGCACAATGGAACCCGCTTCAGGTGACAAGAAGACTGCAGTGATCCACACAACTGGCTACTGTGGTGCTGTTGAGAAGGCGTGTCTTGGCATGGGGATCCCCATCCTGAGCATCACCGACAACCAAGTGTATCATGAGTACACCTCGATGACCGTTGGGAACATGCTCTTGGAGGTGTAGGGATTGGTAAGAAGATGTTCACCCCTCAATGGTGGTATACGGTTCGGATTACAGGTTTAAGTTTAAAGCATTACAAAAGGCAAAGAAGGGCCAGATATGGTGTCAAATTCGCGCCCTTGACAGGACTGGAAGGCCGGGTCCGGTCTCATTGGCAAGATGGTGCCAAAGTTCAAGGCAGACCCAACGGATGAGACTCCGATGGTCGTGGAGGAGCCAGACTTCATGGTGTGCGTCTTGGACGGTGGGAAGCTTACAATCCCTTCGACGATCCGGGCGCAATGGATTGGTGACCCGATCCGTGCTCCTGAGTGGCGGAAAATTCTCAAATCTTTCGATGCCAAGTGGGCTGAGCCGCATGCTGGTGCAACTCAGACTGCTGAGGTGACCGATGCACCAAATGGCATTGGTGAAGCTGCTGCAGAAGTTTTCCAGTGGAACATGGCCTTTCCTGGTGAACCCACCACAAAGGCGGACCTTGACACCAAATATGGACCTGCTTTGCACTCTTTCGCTTCCAACTCAGAGCTTCAAGGCGCGATCTATGAGGGGCCCAAGCTGTTTGTGCTCGCGTCCCAGGATGGAGAGATTTCAGCCGATGAGCCCGCATTCATGTTCGGGGCGGGCACATGGCTGCTTGACGCCAAAGCAGTTACCTTCTGCCAGGAGCTGGGGTTCAAACATATGTGGAAAATGTTCTCTTTTAAAGCAGGTACTTGACTTGACCAACCACTCTACTAAAACACCCGCTCCCTGACAGGAGCACCCTGAGAAAGGCTTCGAGTTCGAACTATCTTCTGATCAGGAGATCGTTGTTCTCGAGGACAGGGATCAAGGATTACTAGGATGTTTCTTCGTAGTAAAACCCAACAAGGGCAATGTAATAACAGGAGACCCCTTTACATTCTGAATAATCGTCAATGTCAATCACAAATACCATCTAATACATCCCCCTCATATTAACAATCCCATATTGAGTATTCCCAAATATGTTTGAATTTTACATCACCACCAGGCGTTCAATGATAAGGGGCAGGGTATTGCTCAAAATGAAAGATGCTTGAAAAAATATTCAAACATACCTGCTAGAATTCTTTGAGCATCCCCCCATTGTGAGAAATACCCATATGACTCATAATTGGCTTCTTCGCGCCAGGACAGTGATGGCAACGATGGCCCTCCAATCTCAGTTCGATCGGCGCTTCAGCAGGTTGAACGGACCGGCCTGGTTGATTACGAAGTCGCTGGGCACTCCTGCAGCCGTCCAGCACAGGTGTGTCAGAACCCCGACGAAGCTGACAGGCTGGGAACAACACCGGAAAGTTTTCACCATGGGATTTCAATAAAGCTGACCGAATGTTTTCAAAAGCGGGAAATGGCAATAAAAAAAAAGCTGGTCTACTGCCCAAGCCCTCCCAGGTTTGAAATTGGCTTGAAGGAGGGCACCAAAATGATTTGGAAGCAAGCTGCGGTGAGGCTTGCCAATGTGAAGGTCAAGAATGTGGGATCCTACTTCGAAGCACAGCAGATCTTGTCTTCCCCTGCGCTGAACCAGGTCAGGGCACATACAAACTTACCAGCAAACATCTTAGATTTTGTTGGATTTCACACCAGTCCACTATATGATGTCGGCTCGTTTCGGCCTGAATGTTGAACTCCCAATTTTCTTTTTTTGTCGCAGGGTGAAATATTCAACCCCAAATTATCGTCCGGGTTCCTGCCCAACATGCATGATAATAAGACAACCATTACCCCGAGAAAAGATTTATGTATTGGCCATTGCCACCCCTTCCAATCCTATCTTCAGGCGTGGCGACTTCGGTCGTATGTGGCAGAGAAGTCCATTGGGGCTGCAAAGCCCCTGATTTCGTGAAAGAGAAACTCGTGCTGCCAGCCGGGCAATGCCAAAGGCTGATGTAAAAGATTTGCCGTGCAAGGTGAAACCTTTCCAGTCACCAATTTACAAAAAACATTTAATTATTGGTTTCATTTGGTTTCTTTTTAGGGTGAAGCCATGCATCAGGCAAATCCGCCGGTGTGAGCAGATGGGTTGCGGGGCTGTAGCATGGATGGCCAACTAGAGCCTGCCTCAACCATGGAAAATCAGGTTACTGAGTGGCATGTGTCTACCCTTAAACGACTGAAACAAATCACCTTTTGTTACCATTGGAATGTCATAGAACTCTCACTGACTTGATCGTTTTTGGGGCGGACGGCTAGCTGGCCACTAGGTTTACTTGGGGGCAATCCACTCAGAAACATACCAGGCCCAATCCAGCAGCAAGAAAATGTGTCCTCTTGAAGACGCGCGTGGCCTGAAGTCTTCGGTCCTTCCAAGCGACACGTGAGCTCTGGTAAAATCTGAAATTTGAGTTGTTGAGTTGAGTTGTTTCAACTTTCACAGTTGTGGTGTTGGCTCTAAAAAAGGGGCGACGCAGGGACACAATAGCTAGCCCTACTTCACTGCCAGCCGTGAGCTGGTACGGGGCCAATGTCAGACTTAAACAAGCTATGGATTGTGGAGGATGACTCGCAGTCACCGGTTGAGTTCAATGAGCCTACTCCGCCACCTTGCGGATTTCACAGCATTTCTCCAGCTCAGTTCGATTTCCAAGTTCCAGGTGCTGTCCCAGGCAATTTGTGGACCCCAAACCTTGGACGTGCGCAGCCCGTACCTGCAACACCTCCAGACCATTCAGACAGGACTGGCACTTGGGCTGGGGGTTCTGGCATGGCTGGTTTGCATTTTTTTTGGGGAAGCTGTCAATGTATGGTCCTACCTTCATCATGAATTCCCAAGGGTACATGTTCACCAGTACTTAATATGTAGTGTTCAAAAAAGATCAAATATATTTACATACAACATTTACGATTTACCACGCCGTACCAGTCATACCTAGTAAGCAAGACAAAATAGCAGAGTTTATAACAAGAAAAAATACTATCATATTATTTCCTTCTTACGCTGCATAGCTTTTTGCCCCCTGCTAGGCCACCTCTTCAAAGGCTTCAGAGGTTCTACGTTCCGTCCATGACGGCTGCCAAGAGCAAGCCGGTGAACCCTCACCCCTGTGAGGGGGGTGCTTCTTTGGGGGTCTTGGGGGTTGGTGCTGGAGATGAGTGCCACTCCCCTTGTGCTAGACAGCTGTTTGGTCCGGAGACTGACTCTCAAGAGACGCTTGTGTTGGGGGAGGAGGGTGATCAGCCTTGTGTGCCTACAGGGCCAAAGACACCACATGACACCAACACAAAGGATGACAATCAGGTTGGTGACAAGCCAAAAATTGAGGAGAAAACAAAGGTTCCCACACGTGACACACAAGGTGACACGCCTCCCCAGACAGCACATGACACCAACACAAAGGATGACAATCAGGTGGGTGACACGCCAAAAATTGAGGAGACAACAAAGGTTCCCATACGTGACACACAAGGTGACGCGCCTCCCCAGACACCACCCTCGAAGAAGCCCTTGGTGATGAAATCGCCCCAGGCAAATGGAGATGAAATCGCCCCAGGCAAGGCTGAGAAGAAGGGACCTGCACGAGCATCCAGCAAGACCAGGGCTAAATCGAAGGCAAAGGCAGCTTCGAGTAAGGTGAAGGCAGCCCCCAGAACCACAAAGAAGAAGCACAGCAAGACAAAGGAGAAGACAGAGGAACAGAAGGTAGTGCACAGAGCAGCTTCGAAACGTTGGCATGACAAGTGGATCAGAAAGGGCATTTTGAAAACAGCAAAGAAGCTTTCCAAGGCACGCAACAAGCCCAGCAAAAGAACGTGCAACAAGCGTGAGGCCAGTGAGACTGGGAATGACAAGGCTGTTGACAAGCGCCCTGCCCCGCCCGCCCCCGTGACAAAGCACGCCAAGACTTCCAGCTCTGGTTCTGACAAGGGTGAGGCCTGTGAGTTTTTGATGTGCCTGGTATTTCGCAAACCCGGTTATTGTCCTGCTGATGTTTTCAGAACTTGTAGTAGCCAATGGCCAAAATATCTAATTGCCTTCGGCAAGCCCGCCGGCCATAGAGAAGAGGAATGAAGATAAAGCCGTAAAACGGAATCGGCTTGTGTAGCAAGGTTTGCTGTAACAACCTGTTGACCGTATACCAAAGTAGTACCGCCCCCAGCAAAGTAGCGCCAGGTACTATGTATGAGCCTCTGGCTTGACACCCAACCGCTGCATGGAAGGAGACATGGGGAGAGAGATTGCCCCAAGGGAGGTTGACGTGCACGCTAGGTGGAGGCCTGAAAGAAGAAGAGACGAAGACAGAGCCATAGATCAGAAGCAGTTTGAGTAGCAAGTGCGTGCTTGAACAACCAATGGAACGCATACCAAATGACTACTGGTCGATCATTACCCTGTGAATTGCCGGCCCTACCAGTGTAGTATTCGGGAAAGAAGGGAGCAAAGAGTAGAGGAGTAAAGGAGTCGGAGTAGGCGTCGGAGAAGGAGTAGGAGTAGTAGGAATAGTAGGAGGAGGAGGAGGAGTAGTAGGAGTAGTAGTAGTAGTAGTAGGAGTCGTAGTATAGTAGTAGTTGTTGTGGTTGTAGCAGTAGCAGTAGCAGTTGTTGTTGTAGTACTAGTACGAGTACTAGTAGTACTAGTAGTACTAGTAGTACTAGTAGTAGTAGTAGTAGTAGT